CACCCTTCCATCAGATATAACAAAATGCTTTCAATATGTTTAACAGACAAAAAGGGATCAAAAGAGGGACATTTTTGGATAGGGGAAACATTTACTTTTAAGAACTCTGGGCATAACTATTCTTACCCCTTGCAGTCGGGTTACCCCCACACGGCAAGGGTTAAATGATTGTTTTGGTCTAGGGAAGAAAATAAAGTTATTCTCATCTGATCCTCCAGTCTGGCTGTTATACTGGTCCCTGCAGCCTGTCTCCGCCTCTGCTCCATCAGTCTAAGGTCCTGTGAGTCATCACATCGTATACATTGGATCCTGAGGGCCATACCATAGCTGGAGCAGAGGAGGAGACAGGCTGAATGGATCGGAGTAGCAGCTGTCCGGCTCTGAGGTTCAGACGAGTAGATCTTTATTTTCCTTCTAGACAAAAGCAAGCAGTTAACCCTTGCCCTTGAGGTGGTAGCCCCACTGCAGGGGTGTAGAATATTTCTGCCCGGATGGATTACATAGAAGCACATAGAAGTTGGATATGAAGTGTACTTTCCAGCGTGAGGTCTCTGCAGCCCTTTTTACAGATCTTTGTCATTTGGGAAGCTCGTTGTTTTCTTAGCATGCTGCCTGATTATCTTCAGCAGCACTTTCTACATTGCCATCATTTGTGAATCGAGTTTTAGAAAGCAGCTTCTCTTGATAGTAATCCTGTGCAGTTGCAACATGTCCGTGATCCCAGAGCTGTGTAGTCAGTGGCGGTCAGAAGGTTTTGTGGTAGACAGGATCCGCTGACCTTGTCATATTAATAATGACTGTTCATGGACTTCCAATTGTAGAATAAAATCCGTGTGATCTTCCCATGTGACATGATGGGGAATTCCATGCCCCAAAAATGCCATGTCATTACTTTTCTGTAGACTTTTTCTACAGTCTTCTGTTGTGCAATAGAAATTTCTCTAGAATACGACATGCAAATTGTACTGTGTGTAGCCAATGTGAAGTTTGATGGAAAGCAGTCATGAGGATCATTCGTATGCTGCCATTAAAGGAGAACTATGGGCTCAGTGTTTTTCCCCATAGTTCTCCTTAGGGTAACGGGAGGACACAAACTAGCGTCCTCCCGTCACCCTAAGCTCAGTATACCGCGAGCTACAGCTCGCGGTATACTGAGACGCCGGTTCTCATTGTCGCAGGTCGGCTAGAACTATGAGGTGAGTGGAAATCACTGCATCTCATAGTTCTCCTTTTAATGACCTCTATCTACAATTGCAAGTTGCCGGGTGTCTCTACTTTCAGTAAATTCAAAGTCATTGATCTGGCCAGTGAAATCATAACTCCTGACCTACATACATGCTTTGGGTACTGTACTAAGAAAGTATTGAAGCCAGGCAACTAGAATTTTCAAAAGGATAGGTCAGCAGTAGTCACCGACATATCGCTCACTATTTTTATTTAAAGTAAAATACTCAAATGTCTTAAAGGGGATGTATTGGGAGAGTAAAATATTCTCTTCCCTATACATAGAGCCAGTGTGAGATGCTGCAGATGTCGCACGGCAGCTCTATATCGAGAACTGAGAGAGAGGGAGAGAGCGCTGTAACTGTTGATCACTCGGCTCACAGTCTCCTCCATGCAGAGAGCAGTGACTGTCAATTAGGGCTTGTTCACACCAAGTGCGGAGCAGTGCAGTTATAGAACGCATCAAAAATGCATCCAATGTATTCCAATGGTATTTTGGGCTCTAGTTCACACCAAAACTGCAGCATGCCCTATGTTTTTTCTGCTCTGGAACGCACCAAAACACATGCAAATGCATCAAAAACGTACGCAAACGCACCAAAATGCATCAAAGCGCATGTAAACTCCCTGGAACGCACTGAAAGCCCATTTTAGGCTAAACAAAACATGGACCGGATTGCGTCACAAATGCAGCAAAACGCACTGCATAAGCAGAAACTCATGCAGATCTGGTCCGGATTTGGTGTGAACAAGCCCTGTTTCCTGCAGGGAATCTTCCCTCCCCTTTCAGTTCCTCCAGCACTCATTGGAGGGACAGAGAGGAGAGGGCGGGCACAGCTGGCTCTGGCTCAAATCTTACTCAGAACAATCCCTTTTATGTAGTGAGTGATGTCTTCTGTCTGCCCATCACTTCCAATATCTCTCTGGATTGCCAGTGTGCTTTATATTTCTCATCATTATCCCATCATGCAGTGCTTCCAGCAAGCAATGATGATGTTACATTGTTCAGACATTAAATTGTGGTTCCGAGCAGGCATAGTTATAGAGGTGACACAAGGAATATGTGTTGCATAGTCACAGGGCTGAGTGAAATTGTGGCATTAGGAAACTACATCCTATAAGCATCTTCAATAAGTGAGTTTACAAACTTCTAGATCAATATGGTTATTAGGAGTGGGATAGAACTTATGGAAATCTGATATAGAAATCCGGATTTATTTATATGTTTATGCCCATAGTTGCCCTTTACTGATTACAGATCTGCATTCCCTTGTGTCTTTTTGATCTGCCTGGATTTCATCTTTAAGGGTTAGTCTTTGTCTCTGGTGGATGTAGTGTGCCAGGCTTTGTAGTGTGTTTTCCTGCACCGTTCTGGAGACTCTAATCGGTGAGATTGTTCTGTGTGGGAACATTTCTTGCCTACAGTAGATGCGTTGCTGATTGATCTGATAACCACTCCATTCAGGAAACTCCCTCTACAACAGTAATAACATGTCATAGCTGAGGCCAGGCGCAAACAAAACCACTGCTTTCCAAATGTGGACTGGAGCTTAGGGCGTGTGAGCTGGGGATGAGCTGGGTATTCCATTTTGTTTGCCAGGAATCAAAGTTCTGATGTGTCCACTCTGTTATGGGATCTGGAACATACATACAATCCTTTCATAGTTTTGTGAACTACTTATGATTATCACATGCTGCTTTCATTAAAGAGACACAAAATTAGTGATCTCCAAGATTGTGTAAACCAGCAATACAAGGATACATGAAATGCATGTTCATTAGCAGCCTCAGGGAGCTATGCTGCTGTTACCAGCAATGAGATAAGGTCCCCACACACCTTACGATAATCGTGGGAAATCCCGCGATCGTACGATTATCGTAAGGTGTGTGGAAGCCGTGCGACCTCTACTACTGTAAGGTCGCACGACTTTAAACTTACAAACATGTTTCAAAACCCGCCGAGCAGCGTACGATGTTCGGCGGGTGTGTAGCATGTTCGTAAGATAAAAGCCGGACGGGCCGGTGTGCGCAAGCGCACACTGCCCGTTCGGTTTTGCGGTCATCGGAAGCCCGCCCCTCAGGGGGCGTGGCTTGCGATCATCGCAAGTACGATCTGCCTATGCAAGATAGGCAGATTGTACGTTTTTTTACGTACCTTACAACCATCGCACAACAAAAGTCTTGCGATGGTTGTAAGGTGTGTGCCCAGCCTTAGAAGAATAATAAAAGTACAAGTATACATTAAAATGCATCTTAGGTACTCATTACAGTTATGGGGATTTGATGTCAAAGACCTGTATGCAAATTATCACAACTTTTATAATGTTTGGACAGAGTGGAAGGACAGCAATAAAAAAATCTTAGAGGTCTGGCTTTGCCCAAACCACTGCAACGTGTTCTGTGTCCCTGCTGGAATGGCCTTGTCTCAGTTCTTGTCCCAGAGACAGCATTTTCTTACCCACTCTTTAATAACTACATTTCTTTTTTGGGACCAGCCATTCATGGAAGCCCGCACTGAGAGTGCCTGCAATTGCAGACATTTGCTTCAGAAATGGCTATATGGACTTTATTTACTAATTACCGTGCTAGGAGCCAAGTGCAAGGAGTGAACGCTGATTGGTCACCACAGATTGGCACACTTTGCATTTCTACAACTTGCACTGCTTGTTTAATAACTCCATTGGTGTCGAAATTACCTCTCTTGGCACCAGATAAGCCAGGGATGGACATATTAATAGACCCAAATCACTAGATCATATGTCTAAGGAATACCTACAAGATCCTTGACTGCAGGAGAGATTAGAGAGGTTTTAAACATAAAGTTGAACATGAAAGTGACACTAAACTCAGGATTAAAGTACCTTATTAACAAAAATGTATCTTATTTGTGTATCAGTCGGCTGTAGATCCTCAAATCATCTATGTGTGCTGACACTGTCCTTCCTTCTGGAGGGTGGCTACCTTTTTGTTCCCCATGGTCCCTGTGTGTGCTGCAAAGTAGCCATCACTCCTGTGATGGACTACAATCTCAATACAAATTAGTAAAATAAACATGAGATTGTAGTCCATCACGGGAGCGAGCTTGGAGCGGTGGCTACTTTACAACATACACAGGGACCATGGGGAACAAAGGTAGCCACCCTCCAGAAGGAAGGACAGTGTCAGCACCAATTCAGAGATGATTTGAGGATCTACAGCTGAGTGATACACAAATAAGATACATTTTTGTTAGTAGTTAAGGTACGTGAATTTATTTTTAACATTTAACTCCTCTAGGTTTAGTGTCACTTTCATGTTTTTATGTTTAAAACCTCTTTACTCTCTCCTGCAGTCAAGGGTCTAGCCAGGGTCTTGTAGGTATTGATTAGACATATCTGGATCTATCAATGTGTCCATCCCTGGCTTATCTGATGCCAAGAGAGCTGGAAATTGGTTCCCCTGGTTCAAAACACAGGGTAAGAAATAGAAAATGGTTTCATTACAAAGCTATTTTTTTTTCTACCTAGAGGAGTAGTAACTGTTTATTGCAAATGGAAATGGCAAGTGGAAATGAACTTCTGTCAGCATAAACTTATTGCAGAAAGCATTTATTGTTTTATTTCATGCATTGTTTCCGTGTATCTTCACAACTATTAAACTGTTTTTTTGCATTTTTCTTCTAGAGTTCTATGAATCTTCCCCCAGACAAAGCACGACTTTTGCGACAGTACGATAATGAAAAAAAGTGGGATCTCATCTGTGACCAGGTATGCTCAAGACTTTTTTTTTTCTAAGATATTTATATGTGATAGTTGATAAAGGTGGGCTGCATCCCATCAAAATGTCATACACACAATCACCTGCTTCTTTGAAAATTACATGTGGCCTAGTCCTGAGTGTGCCTCGACCATAGCAATTTTGTCTGCATGTCATATTTGCACAGAGCACCCAAGGCCTTCATACAGAGAATTGTGCAGTGACTACGAATTGGTTCCTTTGCTATGTGATATTTATACTGAGGTGACCAATAATGCCTTTACTTGGGACTGTGTTTTTAGATGTCATCAGAGTCTTAACTTCACCTCTTGCAACCAAGGTTTCTGGAATACAGCTGGAGTCTAGTGTATGTGTATTCATTGTATAGAGGCTGCACATAGACTGGTAAAGTAGACAATAACTTTCCCTAGATGTAGTAAAGGAAAAAGTTGGTGTTCTGATTTTGATATATAGGGGCGTGTTTAAAGCCCGACTACAGGCTTTCAATTTAAATACCTGTTTGTCTGTCCCCCTGACTACACATCCCCACATAATTATTTAAAAAGTTGTTAATAAAAAGGGCAATTATGAGGTGTCCGCTGCCCTTTTTGCTCTTCTCTGTGGAGGGCTTCAGCAGGAACAGTTTGACATGTGAACTATGTTGAAATACTAAATTTCACAGCATGCAATGCATAAAAACACTTGTTGCTACTGGGGGCTTGAGAACTCAATCAGCATGATAATGCAACTGCCTGTGGTTCAAAGGTTCTCTTTTAAAAGGACCTAAACCCATTTTACTAGTTCACCTCCCTTACCCCATCCTTGCTGTTACCTACCAAAGATTGCTCGTAAGACCCCCTCAGACCTTTACGGGACCAGGCTGTCTCCAGGTATGAACAGCCCAATTCTTCCCTGATGCTTCTTGGTCTGACTCATGGCTGGAGGGAAACCTGGTTGTGATTCTACATGAGGCAGAGGCACTGTTTGGTTGCTAAGGCATGGCAGCTAATATGTGCACCTCTGGCTTACAGAGAAATCTCCCTGGGTGAGTCCTGAAACCAAGAAGAGTTGGTGAATAAATGCAAGCAGGTAGGTTTCTGAAGGGTTGTAGTCACCATTGCGGGTAAGCAGCGGGAAAGAAAGTAGTATAACTGGTTTAAGGCTACTTAAAGAAGAGAATGTCACTTTGCTCATTCAGAATCCCACCACTTAACTGAACTTCAGTGCTCTACCCCACCTCTCCACTGCTTCATGAAAGCTTTGGTAAATACCTGGTTCTTCCAGACATAAAGGAGCATGTGACCTCCTCCAAGGATGTAGTGCTTGGGTCTAGTGGCCAATCACCAGGCCCGGACACTTTTATGTGAGGAAGGGAAGGCACACATTAACCATGTGTAAGCTCTGACACCATATGCCATGAAGCTTAAACAAGGTTCTTCCTTGACAAAGGAGTGGAGTGGTGGAGCATGGGGAAGTTGAGTATTAATGAATTGGGATGTGGGCGTTTTCGAAAGAACCTGTCATTTTCAATTGAAGCTGTCTGCATTTTCACTTGACCTTCATAGTATATAGTAGTCCTGAAAGCTTTAGTGATACACACATGAATTCATTCGTTTTACTAATTTATAGTAAATTAAATTGCACTCGATACTTTTGTTTGCATTCCATGAACCTTTCTTCATCAATGCATATGTTAAGCAAATTTTACATTCTGTGTGTTTTCAATAGGAACGGTTTCAAGTGAAAAACCCCCCGCACACTTACATCCAAAAACTACAATCATTCCTAGACCCTGGAGTCACACGAAAGGTAATGTTCTATAAATGTCCATTTTGTGGTGTATTTATTTATTCTGCTGAAAATATGATGGTGGTCCTGAATGACCTGATAATTGCAACGCGTACTATTTAGGCATCTCTTGGGACGCTTAGGCTGTATGTGAACTCTAAAGAGGTAGGCTGGAAAACCTCTGTGTTTAATACCAGCCTCTGACCTCCAGTGGTCCTCATGATTGCACAAAAAGGCCTTCCAACCTCCATTGGAGTGGGGCTTGATCATTCACCTTTTTATGGAAAAAGAGGTGTTTTTACAGTAATGCAAATGGGCTTCTCAAATACAAGAGGAATTCCCACTGTTCTCGCCAGATCCAAGCTCCAGCGCTCAGGCTCATCACAGGTGCTGTCTCTACGACTAAGCCCACATAGGTGAAACGTGTTTTATATAGGTGGGCGATCATCAGACGGGGATAACAATATGTCGCTGACTGTATTTTAATCAATAAGTGTTTGGTGAAGAATTGTGGTGTCTTGACTACTTTTGGATCAGCAAATCGGCTTCTGTTATCACAGGATGCATACCATGGCTGTTTCTTAAGACATCCCGAAAGAAAAAATGGTCAGAGATCTTTGTCACCTTGGCGCATTAAATGTCAATTGTCTCCCTGATATCTTATTGGGATTAATAAAAAAAAAAAGACATAATTATGGCAAATGCAATTTGTGTGTGTGTGTGTGTGTGTGTGTGTTGGTGGTATTTTTGACTGTAGACAGGCCTTATCAATAATAAACCATGTGATGCGATTTATTCTTTGAGACATGGTCAGCAATCAGCCAAGTAATTTGCTATTTAGTATTTGCCTCTGTAGCTGCCTATTTTGCATGTCAATTTTGATATTTGTTTTCTTTTTCACATATTAGAAATTTCGAAGGCGGGTCCAAGAATCTACAAAGGTTTTGCGTGAACTGGAAATATCATTGCGAACAAATCACATAGGGTGAGTAACAAAAAATTATCCTTAAAGGTCGACTGTATAATGTTTTGTCAAAGTTTGAGATCTTATAAGATTACCTGAAGGTAATATAATCATCACATTTCTTCTGCGTGTATTTCAGTATAGCATATCTTGTATGCAAATTAGTAAGTGCTTTCCTTGGTGACTGCCCGCATGTCAGATATTGTTCTCAGGATTGGGTCACCAACTGTTGCTGATCAGTGTACCTGAGCAGTCATTAGGGCACTCAGTGACGGGGACGTACAATGTACATCTCCCATCACAAAGGGGTTAAAGTATTTGCATATTTTGAATAAGCATTGAAAGCACTTTAAAATAGGCACTCATTCATCTCTGTAGCTGTAGGAATTGTGGAGAATTTATTGTCAAAATTTACAGGAAAGGTGCTGAAATTGCAACTCTTTTTCCTGTATTTTCTATGAAGAGCAGACCCTAGGTAGTCTGTCAGCCTCCTAGTGTAAACATACAGTAGGTGCTTGTAAGGTGTTAGAAACTGACTGAAACCTGGCTTTAGAGCTCATTCACAGCACCACACACATAAAAATGCACGCACATTGACATGTGTTCTTAATGCATTGCATTTTACTGCATGCTGAACTGAATTTGCCCTGTATAGGCCACATCAAGGGTGAACATTTGAAAAAAATATTATTTTTTTTGTATTTCGGTAGGTACTTTGGGCTGTGTTAGCATTTTTGTTATGTTGCGTAAAAATGCAGACATGGTACATATGCTCCCCGTTGCACCTTGTATAGTGTGAATAGGGCATATAGAGAACAATTGTTTTCTCAGTGTCTTGGTGTTGAGCTTGCATTGATCTTGCTGATCTACACAAGCTCAACACACCTGGTTTAAACAAGCTCTTAGAGTGTATGTTGTGATCTTTGATGATGAATTACTTCACATTTCTTGTAGTTAGAGGGTCAGTGAGGGCTTGGATAAAGTTGTTCTTTACTGCTTGTTAAGAATATATACAATTTTTAATGTCCATAGTTTCACTTAAAGTGCATTTACAGAAACGTGTTATATTTCTTTGTGGATTATGAATGTTTTTGACTATATCTCCTACAAGTATAGTGTTGCGGTATATGGTACCAAATGTTTTGCAGTTATAATATTTATTTAATACATGTGGTAGCCATAGTTGTCATTACCTGGAACAATTACTGGCTCAAGAGCATTGCATCTAGTAACTCCTGCAGTTATTTTTTATTGTATCATTTAATTTGTTGTATAATTTCTTTATTGTTATTTTGTTTTTTATGTTCGTTTGATGATTGCTTTTGCTGTGGCTGTGTTCTGTGACTTCACAGACAACCCCTAAAATGTATTGTTTGTTCTTTTACCGTGATTAACAAGGGTAGTAAATTGCCACCCCATATTTTCTTTTCATTTGCTTTAAACAGACCCATTGATTGTAAAAGTTGTTTGGCTGCTGTTATTGAGTAGGGGTTAGTCATCAGTCATCAGCTAGTAAAGTGTAAAATCCTCCAGGAGGTGAGGAACATTATTTTGTAATGAATCCTAAAACATTGGGAGCTAGCAGAATTTTCATTTTGGTGCCTGGCTGCTGGAATGTGTGCCGGCCTGGTAGAACATTACGTTGTATTTATAATTCAGTTGATCTGCTTTGAGGTACATTTTCTGATGAAACCGTTTAAGGCCCCTTTCTTGTGGATGCCGTCCTTTCCGATCTGCACGGGTTCCATGCACAGATTTTCTGCTGATCAGAGCAGTATGGAATAGATGTTACTTTTGTGATCTCCATGTCTGTTCTGAACGAACTGGACCCATGTTGGGTCTATTGGGAGTCGGATGTAAGTGGACTTGTGCCTGTTTACATCCAATTACTTCTAATCTGTCACAAACAGGTCCACCAAAACAGAACTCTGTGACAGAAACGGCCTGCGTCCTATGTACCGGTGTGCCCTATGGAGCGGAAAATACGGTAATTGTAAATCGAATGATTACCTGCCATTCAGGATAGATGATTGTCCCTGGATACAATTTGTCTGTGTCCAGGGACAAGCATATATCCCGAACTGCAAGTAATGGTTTCATGTAGGGATGTCCCGATACCACTTTTTCAGGAGCAAGTACAAGTACTTCCCCCTCATGTACTTGCCGATACCAATTATTGATACTTTTTCTTAAAGGGACAGGTGACTTTAAATGATCCATAGTACAACTACATGTTATGTACTATGGATCATGATTTAACCTATTCATGTTAGCAGGGGAGAATTGTAAATCTATTGTTGCAGTGTACTCTATATAAGTAGTACATGTACAGTACATATAGAATACACTACAGCAATAGATTTACAATTCTCCCCTGCTAACATGAATAGGTTAAATGATCCATAGTACAAGGCTACATACTATGTACTATAGATCATGTAACCCATTCATATTAGTAGGGGATAATTGTAAATCTATTCTCTGCAGTGTATTAGCAGTGTGTACTCTATATGTACTACTCTATATGTACTACATACACTGGAGACAATAGATTTACAATTATCCTCTGCTTAATAGGGACCCCCCTTGCCCTCACTCACTGCTCACGATGTGCGTCGCTGTGCGGGAGAGTAGTGACGAGTCAGCGCTGGTCCGGTCGGAGGAGCTCCAGGTGGGGGTCCTAATTTAGCTGGCTGGCGACTGCCCAGAGGAGCCGGCCAGCTAAATTAGGACCCCACCTGGAGCTCCTCCCACCGGACCAGCGCCTACTCGCCGCTGCTCTCCAGCATTGAAGGAATTCGTCTGAGCTGAGCTGAATAGGAGCGTTGCGTCGCTCCAAGTGGGGTCCTCTGGGCATTCGCCGGCCACCTAAATTAGGGCCAAACAGGGAGCACCGCCCACCGGAGCAGCAGTGACGCAACACTCGTCAAGGTGAGTGAAGAAAAAAAAAAAACACAGCGCAAGCTTCGGCGCTATGTATCGGGGGATTTTGACAAGTACTTGTCAAAATGCCCTGTCTCGGGCCCGCTACCGATGCTTGTATCGGTATCGGGACATCCATAGTTTCATGTATGATTACACGTGGACAGTCACTGTCAGCCTGTCATTAACATTAATGGGCACAGTAGACACATCTGTAGGGACACCCCTAAGATTCCTGCCACAATAATCCCCAGCAGCAACCTGAAGCCCCATGTGAATGGGGCTTATTTTACCTATATGAGTATTCTAGTCAGGAATCTGTGGACAGTACAGCTTGTTTGGAACATTGCAGGTGGTGTCTTGCTTTTAATGGCAGGATGTTCTCAGAAGTGTACTGGCACATTGACTGAATGGTGACAGTGAGGAAGGAAATGAAAAAGACAGGATTGCCATCATGTCCTGCAGGTTGTATTTGATTATTGCAGTGAATGTATTCAGGGCTCTTTCATACTAGTTCCATGTGGCATCTTCACACGTGTTATACTTGCATATGCTGCATTCAAATTATGATTGAGACCCTCATGGTTGTGTCGATGGTCCACTGTGTATCCCTGGCTTTCAATGTGATGACCTACTGAGTGGATTGGATTGTTAAATATTGCATTAATTTGTACTGATAAGTAAGCTCCTGGTGGCTTCCTCCTAGGCAGGTATAGAGAGTAATCAAAGGACCTGTTCTCATAATTTCACTGTTAAAGGAGAACTTAGGGGTCAGTGTTTTTCCCCATAATTCTCCTTAGGGTAACGGGAGGACACAAACTAGCGTCCTCCCGTTACCCTAAGCTCAGTATATCGCGAGCTACAGCTTGCGGTATACTGAGACGCCGCACCTGGAGCGGATCCCGACGTAGATGACGGGATCCGCCCAGCCGTCCGTTCTGCCAGTCAGCGCTGGCAGATGGGAGAGGGGAATCCAGCCCCTCCCCCTGTCACGGCAGAGAGCCGTGACAGGATTGAGAGGTGAGCGAACCCGGTATGTGTTACCTCACCTCCCGATCTACTGAGCCGACCTGTGACAGTCTCATTGTCACAGGTAGGCTTAGAACTATGAGGTGAGTGGAAATCACTCATCTCATAGTTCTCCTTTAAGTAATTGTATTCCCTTGTCTCTGGCCACCTTTACGGTACTGAGGATAATTCATCAGCACTAGAAAAAGAAAAGCATGAATGTGACCTGCATCAACCATTCATTTACCATACTTTTACCTAAACACAAGGCCGTCCCTATAATGAGGCTGTTTCCTCGGGCAACATCTCATTGGGTCACTTGGGAGGGGGCTATCAGCAAGTGTACCTTTCTGGCCAGAGCCCCCAGGTTACTAAGAGCTGTAAGCAATCTGGGAGGCTCTGTCCGGCATTCCGCACAACTCACTGATGTCACTGGTTACCAGGAGCTGAGTGGGATGCTCTGGCTGGTGACCCGAGCAGCTCCTGTCAACCAGCAACATCACTGAGCTGTGCAGGACGCTGGATCAAGGTACTGTGCACCCCCACCAACACCATCCCCTAAACACCCCATTCCCTCTGCCTCAGGCTGCGAATAGTTTGGGGATGTCCCTGCCAAAATAGAATAGTAAATGAAAGCTTCAGTTAGACTGGTTGCAGTATTTTAGGTTTTATATTTTTATGACTGGGCTTTTCTGTATGTAGGTCAGTGACTACTGAGCACATGGTGAACCCCCATGTATGTAAGTTGGTTTATAGAAAAAGTGGTTTTATTGGACATAACATGCCAATCACATGTTGCTTGCCATGATCAAACTTGCTGTAGGAAAGGACAGTTGGAGGCTTTCACCAATAAGAACAATTTCCACTTTTTAACACTTATTAAAAATCATGATGAAATGCTTAAAAAACAAACTCTATTGCCTTAAATAGTCTTTAAGATTCTCCAATTCGTAGATCTGGCATGAAAAATAGAATCTAGTTGCTAGGGGCAACACAATATCTATCTGGACATCTGGGGAGTCCCACCAGGAATGATGGGCAGATAGAGTTCTGGCCAACCTTGCCCGAATCACTGCACAGCTGGGACTTTT